GCCAAAATCCAAAAAGTTTAGAACAGAATCAGCGAACTTCTTTGTGTGAAGTCTGGTCAAACCCTGGTGGCAGCCATGTTTGTTTTTATTATTAGAAGACGCTTACGCACGTAATCATTCCATATTTGGAATTTGCTTTTCCTTATATGGTAGGATGAAAATACCCCATAAAATACCGCAAAATTACGGCACGCTGTAACTCATGGCGTTACAGTTACAGATGTATAATATTGTATTTTTTACTAGTAGAGTTTTGAATAAAAGCATTCAACCTCAAAAAACTATTTGTCTACCCATTTTAGGGGGAAAATGCGTATAATTTTAAAAGTTATTGCTTGGAACATACGCCCCTCCCCTCCCAAATAGTAGACTATAGTGATATCCAGGGTAAGCAATACACACCATAGCATTGTTAGCTTTTGCTCTATTACAAAACTGCTGATTCAATTAAGTGACCTATTTTGTCAATTATAACAAACCCAAATGTGACGGAAATTGATACACGTATTATACTGGAAATGAATTTCATGGTTTGTTTACTCCATTATAATAGCATAAATATAGACACTATGTCCGTTGCATATTAATATTGTCTTGTATATTGCTATTTACAGAAATCGTTAACTTTGCTGGTACCACCATATATTGTAGCTAGTCATCCCACTTTATGGTTGACAAATGATTATATCAAACGAAAGAGCTGCACACAAATTTACCAGGCATAAAATAAATGAGGTCTATTGTGTTAACTAATTGCTACATATGCAAATTAACTGAATTGATTAATTCAAAACGAAATGTTGCTTTCTGATCCAAGGATGTATACTGATTTTATTTTATGTATTATATGTTCCAAAAAAACCCTGAAAACAGTTACATGTAATTAGTATGCAAATTAGCTAATTAAACTGCAGAGACTATTAATATCAGTCATTTATCTACACGCACCACATGATAGAAATGGTTAATCAGTATGCAAATTATCAAATTTATATTTATTAGATAAACTGTTGCAACAACATACTGTAAAACCATTTTTTTTCACTGACATTTAATTTCACTACAGTAACTGTAAAATGACTATTTTTCACTGGGTTTAAATTTCGCTGATTTACCATTTCAGGCATATTCAGTGGGTTTTAAATTCACAGTTTTATCTTTTAGATAATGTGTTCTATGCTAAATTTTACATATTCCCTGGGTTTTAATTTAGCGCATTTTCCAGTCAGCGAAATAAGCAAAATTAAAACTCAGTGAATAATTAACCCTTTTACAGTATTTTGACGCTTTGAGCATATTCACTGTCTTTTGATTTCATGAATTTGTCAAGGAGATAATGAAATTTATTATTTTACATATTCACATAGATTTAATTTAGCGAAAATAGCATAATTAAAACCCAGTGAATAGTAAATGCATTTACAGTATATAGAACATGCTAAAAACAATTACTGTATAATGAAAAATGTTTACTGGGTTTAAAATTTCGCCGATTTACTAATTTTCAGGCATATTAAGTAGGTTTAAAATTCACGGTTTTATCATTTAGATAATGTGTTCTATGCTAAATTTTACATATTCACTGGGTTTTAATTTAGCGCATTTTCCAATCAGCGAAATAAGCAAAATTAAAACCCAGTAAATAATTAACCCATTTACAGTATGCAAATTAACTAATTAAAAGGCATGAAACTACACAAGCAGTACACATGTAACAAAGTTCAATCTACTGGAGTAAACTGTTAGAATATAATCAATGCATTTGTACAAAGGTGCCCAATGAAAATGCTAAAACTTATTTATTATTATGCAAATTTAGCATGCACAGATTTCTTCCAATGTCAAATCAGTTTATATTATAGTAGCTATGTACTAAGTTCTATTCCAATCCAGCCAGAAATTCTTATATATTGATTGAATGAGATTAAACACAGACAGACATACATCAGTACCTAAAATTTGTGCTTTGTAGACACAGGAGCCAGAAACGATTAAAAACTACAAAATATAACCTCCATTATTTTAGGCATTTGAAGTAAATTTTTTAAAACGTACAAATGACGAGATTTTGTACACAATTCAGGATTTTTTAAGATGCTTTAGCTTTGTGATGAAATAGCCATCAGTCGGCCATCTTGAATAACAAATGAATTATGTACATGTATCTGGGTTCATGCAGGCATGTACGAAGTTTGAGCTGTGGTTGGATGGATAAACAGACGCGATGTACAAGTCAAGGAAACTTACAAAATCAAATATTATATGTCAGAAAAATGGATAACTAAACAAAGAAAATATATTTATTTGTCTTTAATTTTTAAGTTACCTTGTGCAATATATTATTGATTGACTTATTAATGACAGAGACAAAATATTCAATACACAAGCAAAAGAACAATTAACACAAGAGAACTAAAAAAAAAAAGCAGGCTGCCTGTCGGCCATATTGAATGAAATCTTTAACCCTAATGAGGAGTTCTTATTTTGTGACTAAAATTCACAATTATGATTTGAAAGTTTGAATTCAGTCTGAGTAAAACAGATGAATATCATGAAGTAGACAAAGCGTACACTTGCATATAAATAACACTTTTCCGATAATAAATGAAGACAGAATAATATCCAAATTATATTTATATAATATAAATTATATTACGTACAAGTATTTCAATCTGTAATATCGCTCTGTTTGTGAAATGAGATTGTAATATCCTGTTTGTGTAAGTAAGTGTTAAATCAATTTGTATGTGGCATGAATTCTATTTTAATTCAAAGTATGTCTGACTGGTTAGGAACAAATTGGGGTCATGGAGGGTAATATATGTAATAACAATGTAAGTTACCATATGCTATAGTGGCATATTCAGAGACTGATTTGGGAGTTTATAGCCATATGTACTGATATAAGAATTCACTTGATGTGTAAACACGTTTTTAGAAACATTCTGACTGCATTACATCTTGTCAATTTCCATGAATAAATTCATAATTTGAAAATACAGCACAACACTCTGATATCCATGTGCTGTTTGCTACCTTTAACATACAAAGTATAATTTGTGTGGTCTCTAATGTGTGTATACCTTTCCTAAAATCTAGGACAATATTGAGTGTTAAAGAATTCACATCAGTGTCACACAGTCATTCAGATATGCATTTATAATTACATCTATTGAGGCAGAAACGATTTTTGAAATTTTAAAATTATGTTCTCCTGTATAAACTAAGATTATACTATTTATTATTATAATAAATAAGAAAAAGATCATAAAAGTTCCAATAAAGAATAATATTTGTTAATTAACCATTTTTTGTTCACTCCATTGTCTGTGCAATTGAATGGAAAAACAGGCCAATCAAAATCAGAGTACCATAGTAGCATCAAAACATTGCATGTGTTTCAACATTAAGGGCGTGCTGAATATTTGATGATAGTCAGTTTTAATGAAGTAAAGGGTATTTCAATGCCATATTTCCCTCACAAAGATCGATATTTCAACACTTAACTACTGTAAAATACTTTATTTTGGCTGGAATTAATTTTCGCTGAAAAGGCTTTTTTTGGTGTTATTTATAGAATTTTTTTCCCACTGATTTTTGATGAGTTGAATGTAAAATATAGGAAAAAAGGTATATTCGCTGGGATTTATTTTCACTCAATCATCCTTTCAGCGAAAATAAAGTATTTT